GTGTGTGTGTGTGTGAGAGAGACAGACAGACGGTCGGGGGTTGACAGAGAGAGAGACAGAAAGTACGAGAGAGAGGCAGAAAGTCAGAGAGAGAGAGAGAGAGTCCCTCAATGCAGAGTGACAAGCATCCTAATGCTTAACTGATCTAAAAATCTACACACATACAAAGACATTCAGCCTTGTACACACACAATCACACACACACACACAATTACTTAAGCTACCAATTTGCATTGCATTCTCTCTGACCTCTCTCTATTTTTAACTCTGTACCATGATTTGAATTATAATCGTCTTCCAACTCTACTGACCACAGAAACACACACACCCTGAATTATTAAGTATCCTATTAAAGATGCTTCAAGGTTTGCAGACGTGTACTTTGTATCTCACTACATCAGAAAATCATGGAGCCCTGAGCTGAAATGAAATGACCAAATGTGAACTATCAAGTATGAAGATTTTTTTTTCCCCAAGGCATCTAATAATATTTAATTCATATTTGTGTGAGTGAATGGATTTATCTCAGCTTTGTGAATGTGCCTTACTCCTACAGGGGTGTATTTGTGAATATTTGCGAGGTGCATTCAATTTTTCATTTATTTATTTTTTGTTTCAGCTATTTTAAACTTTTTTTTTTTATGGGAAAATTCACAAGATTGAGGCATCTGTGGACTGACACCTGATTTAATTCCCTGCACATTCCTGACATTTCCAATAAGCTATCAAATGCACACGCCAGGTTGTGCAGGTGTGTGTGGCCGCATGCTTCTTCTTCTTGTCTTATCCATTTCCAGGACAGAGAGGCAGAAATGACATGGCAGACAGCAGAGAGTGAAACATGGATCCACTTACACAAGAAGACAAACAGGGAGGAAGTTGTTGTGGGAGTCAGTGCGACGGGGAGAAACAGAGACATGGCGAGGGAAAGACAGAGACACGCAGACGGCGATGAAGAGAGAAGGTTGCTGATAAACAGGAAATGTGATTAACCTGAACTTGCAGATGGGAAGGTGGGGGAAAGAAAGAGTGAGGAAGAGAAGAAGAGAGAGAGAGAGAGAGAGAGAGAGAGAGAGAGAGAGAGAGAGAGAGAGGAGAGTGGTGTTTGGTGGAGACAGACATTAATACAGACCAGCAAAGACTGACAGCCGGAGACCAGGGAAGAAACAGAAAGGTACTACAGTCTGTGTGAAGTGTAACGAACCAAAATGGCTTTGGACAGAATGAAATGAAATGCAACAGTGGAGTCAAGGCTTGTGACACAGTATCTTGAATAATGTTCATTCTCCGCACATATACAGTATAGTATATATTTCAGTAATTGTCCCAGAGAACAAGTAAAACCGTAGAGTCACATCCACTGATCTATGTATCTGTCATCTAGCCATCAGGTATGACAAATCTTAAAAATATATTTGATTACCACACTTTTCTGCTAAAAGTGCAGGTGCTGCATGCAACAAAGGTTGTTGTGCACCAATGAAAACATGGTGGAAGGCAGTGGACAGTGCTCCATTATTAAAGATGTTTTAGGCCTGTAAGGGGACCAAGTCTGTTTTGTGGTTTTATGTGTATATTCGAATACGGTCGCATTGTCTGCAGAACATGTAGAAAGAAAATCGATATGAAAGAATGCAGCAAGAAAAGTTAACACGCTAAGGGGTCACGAGAACGGGGGGGAACATTGTGGTTTGTCTGTGCTTAAGTTGCTAACAGCTTTTCAATAATGTAAACTGAAGCTTCCCTATACTCTTGGAAAAGAACACGTTGTTCTGGTGCTGTATGTGTCATTTGTCCACCTTTTGAACAAGGTAACATGTTAAATCTTCACCCAACCAACATATATCATACTGTGCATTATAAACGCCAATAGTTAAAAGAAAGGTATCAGTTCTGGAGTTACAGTTTTGTTTCTGCATTTAGTATCTATGTGGATAATCAGGCTGAAGCATTTGATGTTGTGAAAGACAAACATCTATTCCACTGCCATATTCCATAATAAAAAACACCATTCAAAAGAAGAAGCATGCACTGAGGAAGCCTCAGCATGCACTGTATTTTCTTTATTGCAACTGGGAGAGCATTTGTTAATATTTATTATTCAAAGAGCAGAGCACTGCAGCAGAGCAATGATGTGTTGTCGCCACACAACAACAGGGTTCTAGGTTTGAACCCATTGGACAGCCAGGACTTTTATGTTCAGAGTTTTTGCAGGTCCGGCATATTAATTGCAGACATTTTTGTGTAAAGTATAAATAGTTGTTTGTCTCTGCCCAGGATGTATCCTTCCCCTCAGACATTGGATGAGAGGCAGAAAATCTTAAAGGATAATGAAGGATGATGAACATTCAAAGACAGAAAATCCTCCAGTGGTTTTTTTCTCACCTTGCTGCGGTGATGTGAATGTGTACTCCAGGAAACCTTGATGTCACTTGGGAGTGACAGGTGACAACAGGCTTTAAACTTACTGCTTTTTGAAGTTAGGTTAGTCTTACAACTAAATATCAGTGTTTCTACCGTTATATTTTAGCCTCCCTCTGGTTCAAATGTTATTTTATCATTTCTTACCTGATCTGGCTGTTTTGATGTTGACCGACTGGAAGCCTCCATTGAGAGCTGAGGTGTCGATGATGACAGAGTCGAAGTCACGGTGGGTCTTGCGGTAGACAAAGAGCGCCACGATGACAGAGATGACCAGACACATGATCACTGCGATGACGATGCCCACGTACAGGGCCACATCATCTGTGCTCGGAGCAGCTGGAAGGGACACAAAGACGAGCAAAGACGAAGTGTTAGACCAAAGATTAGAACCAAAGATTAGAACCAAAGATTAGGAGGAAATGTTTATTACAGAAAAAAGTTCTCATAGCTCGTAGAAAACAGCAGGGCAGCAGCGGAGAAAATTTACGTCTTTTTCTATGTCTTTGCATCGCTGGGTTTCAAACAAAGTTATGTCTGTGTCATGCTCCACATGTGCTCCACAATTTCACTTTTACCTCAGATCACCCGTCACACTCAAAGGACAAGGTCTAATTCCAAATGAAACAAGCCCTCTAGCTTGTGGAATATGATCATTTGTCTAGACAGAGATAGAGCGAGGGAGGAACACCTTACGTAAAAAAACACAGAGGGCTACCGACTCTTAAACTTCAGTATGGCTGTTAATTATTTTACAGGGGTCCTAACTTTCTTCTTCAGCCCAGCCAATGTTTTATTAGTTTTTCATTGAGGACAACGGTGGAATAGTCATTCACGATCCTTTTTATATAACAGAGGAAAATGACTGGGACAATTTCAAATAATGGGTGATGAGGATGGTAAAACGGAATGAGCTACATTTGGGGATGAAGGGGAGGAGAAATGAGGAAAGGATGAGAGGCAACAACTGAAGAGCACAGGGGAGGAAAGATAAGGAGGTAATAGAAGGGAAAGCCGATATGTGGAGAGGAATATAGAAAAAAGAGAGCACACAAGCAGATGATGAGTGAATGGAAAAGAATAGAGAGGAAAGGAGGAGATAGAGGGATGTGAGGAGAGGAGTGAGGTAAGGGTAGAGAAAAAGAAACAGAATAAAAGAGGCATATTAAAAGAGAATAAGGAAGTAGGGAAGATGAGAGGAAACAAGAAGGGCACAGAAAATCAGGGAAAGGAGAAGAGAGGAGGAAATGGGAGAGAGGAGATAACAGCGGAGGAGAGTCAAATGGGGCAAAAGAGGCAGAAATGCACTTGAACTTCAAAGCAGCAAAACAAACAAGCCTACATGTTTAAAAAGAAAGCGCCGTGAAACTTTTGGAGTAGTCTCACACTTTAAGCACCCCTCGTATAATCATGTCCTCTGTAGCTGGTAGGAGGGGATTTGTCTGCAGCTATTAAGGAGATGACAGAAAAGTGGAGGAATGCTCCTTTTTAATCTGCCCTTAAAGTTGAGAGGCAGATAACAGGCTTTTAGCTCCAAACAGCCTGAGTCATTTGCTGAAGGATTTTCTGTTGTAGTACCACAACAAGTTTGGAAAGCATGAACTTGATTATGCAGGAGAGAAGCCTTTGATGGGGCGCTCAGACATCCGTGCTTCCATATGCCTGAGCATGATGCACAGCGGGAGAGGTCACTGGTGGTGGTAGTTTCTCATTTACCACTTGAGGGAGCTATGATCCACTTCTGGTGTCTCTCTGGGGAGCCCGAGCTTGAGAGGGCAAAGCGTTTCAGTCAAGGACCAGAAAAATGAATAGGTGTTTGAGTGTAGTCAAACTCTTATGACACACTATTCTGTTAAATAACCACTATGTGTGTGTGTGTGCACAATGAGCACAACAACATAATGTGTAATCATCACAAATGTACAGTAGGCTATATCATATAAAGTTTATATAAAATGTAGATGTAGAGATTTGTTAATGGTTGTTAATGGTTGACTTTATGTAAGCAAAATGGTTTGAAACACTGGGAGGTGTAATGAGCCATGTTCAACCCATAAATGTAGATTTTTTATACATTTGGTAATAAAAGGGATATGACCAACCACCAAGTAAACAACAGATGAAATGATTAGTTGATTAATTGATCAGTGATTGAGTGTTTCAGTTATTTTTACAAACAATGCCACATATATAGAAAATGTGAGGATTAAGAACTGTTGGGACAGTTCCCGCTATCTCTCGTCTCCAGCTGCTCATTTTCTCTTTCATCTCATCCTGACACGCTCGCCTTGAGCCAATCACCTGTAAGCTGTCAAACTTTAAAATGTTCTCACTCCCTTCTGTCAATCAGCTGTCAATATAGTTCCAGGATCAGTAAGTTACGATCACTGCTTCCACTGCTTTTCCTCTGATTACAATACAGTGAATTTGTGTGTTCATTATGATGGGAAGCTTGCACTTTTTTTTCTGGCATTGACACAAAAAGGCAAAAGTTTGAGCCCTAAACCAAAGATTTTGAAAGTTAAAACCTTCAGGTGTGAAAATGTCACGTGCTTGTCACTTAAACCAGAATGTGTTGGATTAAACAAAATGTTACTGTAAATCACGTTAACATCCTCTGATCTGCGTGTCACATTTTGTGCTCTTCTCACACTGTGGGTTTTTTACAGAAGCTCAAATTGCTGCCAAATATAGGTTTAGACACATATAACACAAACTTCCTCTGAGGTTCACACCTTCACGTCTCCAGAGTTTAACCCCTGCTGCTCTTGTCATGTGCAGTTACAGATTTTGCTTTTGATGTGTTAAAGAAAAGATTGGCTTGAATTCCCTAATGGCCCAAACTACATTGCTGCACAAAGTTGCCCTGTTATCAAGGTCCTTGCACTTGCCACTGGGGGAATAGAATTGGATAATCCTCTTAAGTGCCAACTCCCTGATCTTAATTATGATCATCAGCGTCTTCATCTATTAAGGGAATCTTTATCTTGCTTCTACTTAAACTTGAAGGTCTAACTTCAGAACATGTGGGAAGCCAGGCAGCCGTATAAAACACAACTTCTAAACTGCTATCCTACTTTCCCACTGTGTTTTGGGACACTTTGTGATACGTTAACTATGTACTGTACTTGCTTGTGTATGGAATGTGATTTATACCAGTGAGCCTAAAAACCCTTTCTCTACTGTCTTAGCAGTTTAAATCCCATCTCTCTCAGATCTTTCTCTACCTCTGGAACTCACATGTCTCTGTGTCTCTGACTCCCTCTGTCACCGTCTGTTTGATTTGTAGATGACAGAAACAACATGTCCCATTAGATCTTCTACCTGCCTGAGTAACCTACATACAACTGCTCCATACAAATGTTTTCTTTTTTCTTTAATTTACTTTTCCTTATTTTTCTTTTTCTGTCCTAAATTCAAATTTTCTGTGCAGCTATGACAAACATTTATAAAATGTTTCACTTAATATTATACCATATTACTTGTCTGTTATTGAATTATTACTGTACAATAATGCCTTGTGAGGATATTTTTTTACCTTCCATTTAAGAAAATATCCCGATGACAACACAAAAACAAATACTTGCAAGCATGCAAGGCCAGTAGGTGGCGATGAAGACTACATTAAGGATCTGTGAATGCCTGTAGTGGGGTGCAGTTATTAAATTTAGCTGCTAACTTGTAATTAGACCTATAGCAGTGCAAACAAAACATAGAGAAACCGGTACTTGTTACACAAAGCAAATGGGAAAATACGAAGGAAGATGTGATGTCATTGTTTCCGAACTCTCCATTTTGCAGACACCGATAAACAGAAACCAATATTTATTTTTATTATTTTGGAAGGCGTTTTTTTTAAATCTCTGTTTTTAAAATGCTGTCTGTGTGCAGACGCAGAGTAAAGTTTGTTTTGCAAAATATCAGCATGGATAAGGCGAAGAAGTCATAATCATCTGTTGGCAAATAAACGGTTATGCTACTGAGAAACTGAAATAGTCTTTCAATCTTTAGCATTTTTGAAAAAAAAAAGTAGAATTGTAAAGTAAAATTTCTTTGTTGGGATGATTTCTCATTATCTCTCTTAATACTCAATGACAAGAGAATGAAGTCAGATAGTAAAATGGTAAACAGACTGTGTTCAGTGTGTACAGTGTTTTTCTAGTATTTGCGACCACTCAAGGTGCATCAGGTCATATTCACCCATTCACACAGTGTCTAACAGGATGTGTGCACTTAACACCATAACACAATAGGTGTAAAGATGGTACATGGATTTGGGGTTAAGTATCTTCCCCTAAGACACTTATACACACAAGCTGGAGGAGCCAGGAATCAAACCACCGACCTTCCAATTAGTGGATGGCCCGCCACCTCCTGAGGCAGAGAAAATTTAGAATTCAGACACACACATGCATGCACACACACTCTTCTTCTGCTTCTTCTCTTCTTCATTTCATTGTGCCTCTACATAAAATGACTAACTGCTGCTCTGGTTGAAACCTGCCTTTTCTTTAACGCTGATGTTCTCGTGCCGTCTGACAGCCTAGCATAAACGGTTGCCTTACTCTGACAAGATGGAGGCTGAACAAGGAACTGAACGTCGGTGTGCACTTTTGACCAAACGCAGATGAATGAATAATGTGTCAGGCCCTCTGCGTGTGTCTAAGTGTGGCTCGGGGCTGTGCTCTGTGAAGCCAGAATGTCAAAAAACGCTGATGTAAGAATGAGGAATGAGCAGAGCCTGATCCGTACTGATAGTTACACACCTATAGTATGTTCATTTTTATAAACCCTCATGAGAGCACTGACACATCCAGATCAACTTTTACGCACAAGTCAAGTGTCCATGTGCTGTTTTCCCATCTTTCCTCTGTTTCACTCCCTTGTAGCTGACAGGCAATTTCATGTCTGAAGCACTCACCCGCAAGCTCGGCTGAATTGAGGTTAGATTAAAAATATATGCATCACAGTGGACACACCAGAAAGAAATTGCATAGGCGATAAATAACCTGGAAAGAGAGATGCACGTTCAAACATCCTGTCTGTGATGTTTCAGCCAGTACAATCTGACAACTCTCTATAGGAGCGAACGCTCACTTCTAAAGGTAAGCACACAAACACACACACACACACACACACACACACACATACATCTGAGCGAATGTAGAACAAACATGTCTCTCAATAATTACCTGGTGGCCCACAACGCTCTAATTTGTCCTGCTGGTTTCACAATCAACCGTACATATGTGTTTAAACCTCTTTATATACAGTCTATGGTTTAAACTCAGTGTTTCCCATACATTGATTATTTGTGGTAACCCGCTAGAATCTCAGCA